CTAGTACTGCTTGCTTTGACTAGGTTTAACGTTGAACCACAACGTTTGTGGGTTGGAAACAAGAGACTAGGGCATGGGACGTCATAGGCTTGGTATTAGAGATAGAAACAGGATAGACGCGGCGGCAATGAGAGCTAGTGGGTTGACAGTAGGTTTTACAAGAGATGTGGTCCATGTGACAAGGGCCTGACCATGAGACTTACTTACAGGCTTGAGCCTCGAATTAGTCACCCAGACGCAGGGTAGGGCCAATAACGCCTCAGATGACACAGATGGGGTGGCAGGATTCGAGTGAAATATGTGAACCAGAGAGAGGGCAGACGGATATTACGGGGCAAGAGAGACCGATGGAAGGACTGCGTAACAATATGACAGAGTCTGATCAACATTTCCAGCACAAGGATGAAGGGAAGTGAGAAGGCCAGCGTGAAGTGCGGAGGGTTCTCATGAAAGCCGCTAAAAAAGGGCACACCGTAACGCATTTAATTATGCAAGTAAAAAATTGTGACACTGAAGGTGTGATAGGAGGATATAGGAAATGTGAATAGGCCAGGGCAAAAGGGAGATACCATAACTATTTAGCACACGTTTGGTCAAAGGATCAGCTTCACTTGTCTTTTTGACGAGTTTGTAACATTGTGCTACGAATGGTATAACTCGCTGACGATGCCGGCGAAACGTCTGAGAATGTACCGCGTCCACGGTCCGACTGAAAATAATTATGCATACAATGGATTCAGGACAAGGTGCTTCCCTATTAGTCTTCCTACCAATATGACCAAGTTGCGAAAAGAAGGTCAAACAATTTCCTTACTTTAATTGAATTTAATTTTAAAAATTGTTTAGGCACTACTAGTATTTTTAAGCCAAAAAATATAAATTTGCACTTAACCAACTCAGGTCACTTAATCTGATTTAACGGTGGAAACTTGAGTTCTCCCATAGTTCGTTAATTTGTCCCTTAATGCCACTGAATTTCACTTAGTTTAACCTCTAAAAAGACTCCCATCCATGATGGACTCCAGTTCTGACCTCGCATCAGTCTTATCGATACTTCTAGGTCACACGACATCTTAGTTTAAATACTTTCGATCAACTATATCATATTTTAATCGTCTCTGGTAGTCTTGATAAGTTAAAAATGTAAATATTGAATCGGCTTAGTTCCAACTATTTCTTGGACTACTGCATAGATATAATATCATGATTTCAACCTGAAGCGCTGCTACCTATCTCCTTCAGTCAACATTAACTTGCCGCTGCGACCAGACAAAAGACCACATCGTCTTAGTCTTCATATCTACAATTTAACTTGCCGCTGCTTTCGCATATAGTTAAGATAAAGTAAAATTTACAAGAGAAATATTCTGGTTTATTACAACTTTTTATTTCACACAGATACGTTTACCTCGAATGCATTTATTCCGGAGTCCATTTGGTGTAACTTTCATGAATTTGGCGTGATTACTTAGCTTAGGTTTCTTTTTACTTTACCTATATTAATCTAGGTATTTATTTAACTTAACCTTGGGGACTATTAGTTTGCTTACATTTATTGTTTTCTCTGATTATCCATTGCTCCAAATCGTTTTGTCTCATACTCACCAACGTTTGTCGCGTTACTTAAATATATAGCAAGAGACATGTTTTTATTTTTTGTTCCTAGTCACTGACAATGAATCTGTAAGATTAAAAATTATGGGCAATCTGATCCCTGGTATTGCTCATTTTACGTAGTTTTCGCAACTTGGTTGGAGCTACAGGGAGACCTTGTAGACAGCGCCCAGTCCTGTGTCCTTTGTCACAGTATTCATAATTTCCTGCATCGAACCGTTGACTTGGTTTGCTGGAAGTCATCATTAATATAGTGGCGAAGGACACAGGACTTGGTACGTTTCACAAGATCTTCCTCTCGCTCCAAGCAAGTTGCAAAAACGAGTTCAAATCAACATTCTATGATAGTTATGCAATCAACTAATCACAGCTTTTCAATAGTGTGGCGAAAAAACGGCTTATTTCTTATTCGTTCTCTATAATTACTATAGGCAAAGTGAAACATCGTGGTCCAAGTGCGCTAGGATATCCTGACCCACAGGGATAAGTTTTTTTTCTCTAGGCCTGTGCGTATTTTGTTAGATGCTCCTAGTAATGCTGACTACTTTGCTAGCCGTCCACATTGCACAAACTGTTTATTGGTTATTTAATCATAACCTTGTATATATTATTTTGAATTTCGTTACTCAAGCCTTATTAGCACATTACTTTAGGTCTACCTCAGAATTATCACACCATAACCGAGTACTCGCTCTACGAAACTTCGGCTAGATCAATTATTTTATTTTCATACATTACACATTTTTGCATCATTTATTTGTTCTGCTTCACGATGTGTAGTGCAGCTAGTTTTTTAAAAACTAGATTCTTCTATATCTAAACTTATATTATCTCCGATAAATCAAGTGCATGTCTTATCGGGCACAAAATTTATTCATGGCTCTGATGGGCACTTATCTCATGCTTCTGTTTTCTTGTATTTCTAACTCATGATTCTTGTATTCGCTGCAATTCTGGTATTTTTATCTGGACTTTTGGTCGGTTCTGGGATCTATGTCGATTTTCGTTATTGCCACATTTGATCTTTGATTTCCTTTAAAAAAGTCTTTAAATGTAGAACATAAGCTTAGGTCATTCATTTTATAAATTATATGCTAATCTTTTACAGACCTCATGTATATTCAATAACTTTGCTTTATCAATTTCTTAATGTTATTCTAGGAGTTAGAAGATGAGGAAGAACGTCGTCGAAGGGAGGAGCAGGCTGCTTTAGAAGCTGAAGACGATGATACTGATTGTGGTGAGACAATAGGTGGTGATTTATCGTATCCGGACGCTGACAAGCGCTCGGCTAAGAAGAATAAGGCCAAGAGAAGAAAGGGCAACAAAAAAGGTGGGAGCGGAAGTACTGCAAGTAAGAGAAAGAAGATGGATGGGCCGATGGATGGTGTCACCGAGTTGTCTCGGAAGGTGTACGATACCATGGAAAAGTTAAAGGAGATTTTCTTCGTTATTCGTTTGCATCGGCATAATTCTGCCGCATCTCTTCCTCCTATAGTTGACCCAGATTCTCTCGTGCATTCCGAGCTAATGGAAAGCCGAGACGCCTTCCTTCAGCTCGCACGCGAGCGGCACCTCGAGTTCTCCAGTCTTCGTAGAGCTAAATTTTCCTCTATGGTTCTGCTTTACGAGCTGCACGTTGAGAGCCGACAGAGCTTCATGTATACATGCAACGGCTGCAGCGTCCAAATCGAGACACGCTGGCATTGTACTGAATGTGAAGAATATGATCTTTGTGCCCGCTGCTACAAACGCGAAAATCATCCTCATGTCATGGTCAAGTATGGCCTCGGTATTGACGAAGAGGGTAGCGCCAACGGCGATGGAGATCGCTTCGGCTCGTCTAGTGGAGGGGCTGGTTCTGGCGTTAGTGGTGGTGGCATGGGCACCGGCTCGGGATCGGGACTTGGGGCTGGAGCTGCAGGTGGCAATGGAGCTGGGCCTTCAGCAGCCGATCGACGTAATAGCATCGAACGCTGCATCAAGTCCCTGGTACATGCTTGTCAGTGTCGTGATGCAAACTGCCGGATGCAGACTTGCACACAAATGAAGCGCGTACTCTGCCACGCTCGAAGTTGCACTAAAAAAGCAACTGGACAATGTGTACTCTGTAAGCAGCTACTTTCGCTCTGCTGGCATCATGCTCGATGCTGTGAGGAGACGAAGTGCTCGGTGCCATTCTGCCTTAATATCAAATACCGGGTGAAGCAGCAGCTGCTGCAACAGCGTTGGCACAACACTAAATTACTTCGTCGCAGAATTTCCACAATGCATCGTGGTGATGGTGGGAGCAGTCACTCTGGGCCGCATCATTCCTATTCTACTGGCTCGAGCGGCTCTTCAGAGCCACAGGTTGTCCATCATTACCAGGGTCCCTCTGCTAATGCTACATCCATTTCGGCTTCTGCGGTCACAGCTAGTGCAAATACTACGGTTCCTGTTCTTTCCTACCACTCCGCGAATCAGACCCAGCAGCTAAACCCTCTCCCTGAAACCGCAAGTTCTTCATCTCCATTGGTTTCTGCATCTGCGACTTCGGTCATTGCTTCCTCCATAGCTTACTCGCAACAGCAAGCTCTACAGCCAACAAATCCTATTGTCAGTGGCGCCTCTATGCAAGTCCGGCCCACTGCCAGTGCTTCAAATACTTCCGTATTGGCGCCTAACAATGCTGGCATGGCGTCGATGGCGAGTGCTGCGCCTCGGGTAGTTATGCAACAAGTGAGTAATAATTCTAGTTTCGTATTTAACATAAATGCGCTATTTCCTGTATC